TACTTGTTGCAAAGTTTGCAAGATGTGTTTGAACATTTTATTTTATGGGGCTTTCTGAAAAAATATTCCAATGCCCTATTACATGAGAAGGCCTCAGGATGGGGTCCGTTTATGGAGATCCTCAGGCAGGCAGCCAGGTGTTCACCTTGAAGCTGGTTTCAGGTCTGTTTTCACCTGAGGATAAAGCAAAGAAAATACCACAAACTGCACTAATATGAAGAAAATGCATGATTATTTGTTGTCCTGTTCAAGGTCATGCTCTTACCCTGTTCACCGTTGAGAAATCACGTTGTAATTGACACAGGAAACGGGTAAAACAAGTGCAATGCCTGCAAGGAGGCTCAGACAGGGTAGAGGTTGGTCCACTCATCAAACTCGCTTGCCAGCAGACTCATGATCTCCTGGTTATTGTTCTTGAAACAACATTTGGTTTACCAAGGCATTAGTCTATGTGTGTGTATTGTGAACTGTAGTTGATTGTAGTCAGAATCAGCTTAATTGACCCACCGTGAATGCCCCAGGAAGGACATGATTTTTGAACGAGGACCACTCCTGCAGGACCTCATTCTCATGTTCAGGGCAACATTTCCTGGCGAGTCCGCAGATGAGAGATGTTGATTGTATCATCTTGTAGAGTGGTTGATTGCGGTGCGGGTCCCAAGATACTGAAGGCCCCAAGAATGTCCAGATCATGAAACCTCCTCTCCAGGTGTGTTTCCAGGCCAGTTATGTAAGGGTGGATGACCTACAATGAATAAATCAACATATTTTTAGAAAGAGCCTACACCCACTGTTACCTCCGTCATTAAGGGCCAGGCCATAGTCTATTCAGGAGTATAAATTCCATTTTCTCTCATTCATAGTTTCAAAATTGGACATTTACCTCTCGCTGGGTTCTGGCTCACTGCTCCTCCCTCAGCGCTTCATGACATCTCGCCCTCTCCTATTCCTCTCCTCCTCGTGCTGGCTCCGAGTCCTTGGGATCATCGAGGTCCTGATGGAGGCGAGGCAGGCATGATCCAGGGAGTGGAGTCTGTCCAGCCAGAGACTGAATTGTGACAGGAACCTATATATAAAAAAGAAAAGATGCTGTTAAGTATTGGTCAGACCTGCAAACAACCCTCATTTCAATGTGTGAAATCAAACAGATTTGAATAAATAGATGATAATATAGATAATAAACACATTAAGCTTACCTGCTCCTTGATTTGTAAAAAGTTGACATTTGCTTTTTGAAAGATTTTGGACAGACATGCGAGGTGGGGCAAAACATCAGCCTGGAGGTAAACTGCTGCCGCTTTATCTTATGTATGTAGCACAGAATGTGTAGGGTCCCTTTGCCACTGGACATCTTCTCATCTCTGCCTCCTCTGCCAAGGCTCCAAGGAATGCACTCAAGTTCCTCAGTAGGGTCTCGATGACCCTGTGCTGAAAGAGCCAGCTTGTATCCTTCACTTCCTGAAAATGTTGCAATAAAGGACAGAATGATTAGTTATGAATAGACAGAAGATAACTACAATGGTATCAAATAACTATTACCTTTATTTTCAGATCACTGACACCCAGGGTAGCCGATGCTGCCCCGAGTGTTGCAGTACGATTTGCACTGTTTCTGAAAAATAAATGAAGTTCTTAAAGGTGGTCCCTATTCACCCCCATTGAATAGGGACCCCATTCACACGCCGCCAAAATGTATATAAAATCAATGAGTGACAAGCATGGGATACAACAGACAAAACAAGCTCACATAGGCATTAAATATTTACCTGTCATCACGGCTGCCCCCTCAGTCCCAAGTCCATAGAGTTTCTCTGTTGGGAGGCCCTTCCTCAAGATTACATCCTTGATGGCTGTCACAACACAGAGTCTGCTTTGCCATCGTCAATAGAGACCAAGTCCAGGAATTGACTCAACACATGTCCCTCTTTATCCAGGTATCTGAGAGAAAGCAAAGGCAAGTATTTAGTATTAAAAGTTCATTCGGACCAAGGATGTATGCAATTCTAAAATCAGACAAAATAAATGGTCCTATAGCAGACATGCAAATGAAGCAGTCTGGACATAGAGACATCAGTGCTAGCCTGGAAGTCGGCTCCTCGATGACTCCTGCTAAGATCTCAAGCATTCCGTCAATGATACGATGAGATCTATAATTATTCCTCTGGTCAATCTGACGTTGGGAAAAGTAAAATATAAAATACTTAAAAAATGTATTCATTAATGTTAAGATTGAATTAAATTTGAAATTATGGCTAGGGGACCTTTACCTTTAATCTCTTGAAATAGTTACATCCTAGAAGCTCAGCCAGGCTCAACAGCTTTGGGTAGTTGTGTGTGGGGGCCAGTTACTTTTTTATGAGCCAGTAAAGGCCCTTGAACCCACCAATGATTGCCTCGTGCTCTAAAACAACAGTTGGCTCAGAGGAATCCATCATTGAGATGCCTGTAAATGACAAAGTTATTAAAAATGGATTTGAATATACTGAAGTTATTACAAAACGGCTGTTGAAATCAGAACCCACCAGATGAAACAAGAGGCCTGACATCTGATGCTCTCCTGGTGGTGCTTCAGTGACGTGCCGTTCCAAGTAATCTTTTCTGTATACAGTCACTCCGACCTCAAGAAAAGCTCTCTTTGCCCTGCCTTTCTTATTTGCAGCACAGTCAACAAAACATCCCTAAAAAGTAAAGCAATCATTGATCAAATTAGCTAAATATCCACAGATATACCTGTTAATTTATTCTTTTTTTGTGATTGAATTATGCACAACACAATAAGATCACATATAATAACAAGTAGCTAAGGAAATAAGAAAGAAAATGGGGGGAAAAAAAGATTATTCATGATAGAACAAATTATGCAGGTAAAAATGTAACTTACCATGCTGTGTGTGGTACAGCCAAGTCTTTGAGGCATTCTCAGCCACTCTGGATCAGTGCCTCTGTGCTTGATGTCCTGTCTACAAAGCACAGAAGAATAGAAATGAGGCCTATTTCTAAGGAAATGTGCTTTTCTGACCTGACCTGCTTCTGCATCTGTGTTTGCTGTTGTCCTCCTCTCCTATTTCTCTCTCTCCATTACCCACATCCTATCCCATCCTGACTCTCCCTAGCAGTGCTTTTAGCTCTCGCAGCAATGTGTACTGTGTAACTATATTAATAACCATATTAATTTTCACTGAACTCATTTACAGAATATAGCAGTAGAAATATAAAATATAAATAACATATGGAATGAAAATAAGATATAAAGCACATAGATATAAAGTATAAGAAATAGTTTGAAGAATACAGCCATGTACTGAGCTCATGTTAATAATAAATGAGTTACTGTATGTTCTGTACTAAAGCACAGAGAGTTGGGACCTGTTAATGATTTAAATAATTCAGGTTATATTTGTTTCATGTTAAGATGAAGTATCCACAATAAGCTGCTTAATTTTTCCTCACCCAAAATCTGAGATCATTTGATGTGGAATATCATTGTGTGAGTGAGTGAGAGAGCTGAAAATAGAATGATTACAATAAGGTTTATCTTCTTAACTTTGAATAGATGTTGATTACCTGAATACTGGACCTTTGTTGTCTGGGTAGTACACTGTTGAATTTATAAATGTAATCTTACACACAGATGAATACAGAAAAATAGATGAGAACAAAAAAAATGATTTAATGAATAACTGATATTTTCTCTCTTTCTTTGCCATCCTGAAGACCCCTCACTAAAAGTCCATGTTCTCCTGGATCCGTGTCACATGTTCGAGCTTCTTCAGAATGACATTTCAACAGTCAAAGTTCTGGTGAGAGAAGATCGCCAGCAGATAAGACAGCAGTACATCAAGGAGCTCCACAAGCTTCAGGAGGAGGAGGAGGGTTTGCACCTTGGAAGACTGTATTCATGCTTCAGCTGTTCAAATAAAAATAGATCTCCTCCAAACAACTTGCAATCAAACCATTTTCTTCCCATTTTAAAACCCTTTGTCCAGTTTAGATGGGAGAAGTTGATATTATGTGATATTGATCTGGGAAGACTACATTTCTAAATCATTTTTAACTGTGCTTTTATTCACAAGTTATTGATCTTATTTACTCTCCATGTATATTGATTTAAGAATGGGGCTGTGTTTAAGGTCATCATTTTGCAATGACTCTGTTCCATCCCATTTTAAGAAATGAACTGCATTAGTATTTATCAAAAGAATAAAAAGTTGTGTAAAAGTAGACTTCCTTCCCTAAGCTATTGAGTTGAGCATTAATGCACATTTTAGTCTTGTCATTTCAAATCTGAAATGTATACTCATAAGTAGACATAAAGGAGTGCATTTATATAGAAATATTTATTTAATCTGAAAAACAACATTAAAAAAAGTCTGTTTTTATAGCAGAGATTAACATGTTTACAGCTTGGTACAAAACAAACAAATAGGTGTGATTAGCTCATGTCTCGATCGACACACACTGTACGGGGGGTGAATGTTTTGATGACTCATCAGTTTTGATTTGATGAAGGATAAGAGTTATTCACAATAAGGCGTGTAGCTGACCAGCTTGACAGGCGGGCGCGGTGTAACGGTTTGTCAAGAGGCTTAAAACACGTCTCAGCTCTCAGTCTGTGGGTGTCATCACTCAGGCCATCCGGGGGAGACCTCCCTCACAGCGAGCTGTTGAAGAGAAGCAACCGAAATCCACCCCAGAAGAACCAACAAATGCAGATGTTGTTGAAGCTCAGGTTTCTTCCTCTGTCTCTGCAGCTCTCTGGGCACCTCGACGGACCAGTCACCAATAATCCACACTGTGTCTATAGGAGAAATACAAAGGTGTTCAATTAATGCCTCAGACAAGACAAAATGTACAGTTAACTACATGTGACAGTTCAGGGTGTTTTTTTTGTTATTAGCCACATCTGCAGGAATAATATTGAACAAGGTAGCTGCAGCTCATCATAATAGATGCCAGTCTTAACACTATTTTTTCTAATACTTAAATTTTTTGGTGTGAAGCTGACACTGTCCACAGACTCCATGACTTCACGGGGTTCAATAGAAAACAAATGTCTTATAATAAATGACAAAGGGTTTTTAATTGAGGATATGCTGGCAGAGGTAGGGGCATCACTGATCATCCCCCCACTAAAAACCGCCCCTCAGCTCAGCACATCAGACACTGGAAAAACTCAAGCTATTGCCTGCCTGAGAGTGTTGGTGGAGAGGATAATACGACGTGTCAAGGAATACCATATCTGGGATGGGGTTGTTCCTCTCTCCTTGGCCGGCTCCATCAACCAACTATGGGCAGTTTGCTGCCTGTTGACGAACTACCAAGGCCCCCTGGACATCAAAGGTGACAAGCCTGTCTAGCTGGTTGGATTTAGCACATTCCCCAGTTATTAATGACAATTAATCAAATGTAATGTATACATGAATTGTATATCTGTAATGTATATTATTTGTTTATATGTTATTTACATTACAAATCAAGAGATTAACACATGAATTGTATATATGTGATGTTCATTATTTTGTGTATGATATGTTACTTATTTACATTACAAAGTCAAGAGATTAACATTTGAATAAAAAAGAAGTAAACACAGACCCTCACATCACATATTCCTCATTTTTATCTAAAATGGGATCACAGCATGTCAAGTAGAATAACTATTTAGTGCAGCATAAAAAACAGAACTGTAGTCAGTTACACAAATACATTTTAGTTTTAATTCATTAAAAGGCACATGTAAACATTTCATTTAACATTAATTAAACAGTCTTATTTACAAGGTTATGATTTTTCACTCAACAATTCATAAACTGCATTGATAGCACATACAGTACTCAATGTTTGGACTTGAGAAACACATCCATATAGATGTTGTAATAGAACATGTCAAGCTGCTGCCTCATTGAACGAATGGTGTCTTCATCCCTCCAGACCCTCTGAACTGTGAGATCTGTGTGTGTGCGTGTCAGTTACAAAGTCACACCACTCCAGTCCGCTGATGGCAAGTTGGCCCTGAACCTGCCAGTAATATTTATGACCCTTTTTAAGTGTGGCCTGACCTCTGACTGGTGTTAGGTGCTTAACCTCAGCAACAGAATCGGTACTGCAGCATTTCACTTCCACCAGTCCAAATGGTGGAGTTTCAGTCGGGTCAAAAACTTTGCCATCTGGGCTGACACCAAGGTGAGGTGCATCAGGGTGCACAATGAAGACAAATTAAACAAATCAGAAAACTGTTTTATTATGTCAGGCTCCTGCTTCAGACCCCTTTTCATTGCCAGGGTCTGTGGCGCTCCTTTAAGAATATGCGCTGCCAGGGCTTTTGCTGAGAACTCACCACGTACATGACATGCCTCCCTGAACCTGCTGGCAGTCACTCTTGGCTTTCGTACTGAGACCCACAGCGGGCTGACAGACTGTTGCCTGGTCTCAGCTTCTATGGCAGCAGAGAGTTCGTGAGACACCTTTAGGCTCTCAAGGTGGTAATGCTGCTCATAGTCAGCAGTAAACTCAAAGTCAGCTAGAAACCTGTAGCCTTCAACAGGCAGCAGAGGGAATTCTGGGGCATTTGGATGTTTCATTATTTCCCTAGTAGCCTCTAAGGGGCACTGGTATGATAGAACTGATCCGAAGGGCACAAGACCAAATTTGGACTCCACCATGGTGAGTTCCTCAAGTCCATGAAGAATCTTACAGATCCCCAGCTGTGGCTAAATGTCTTTCAATTTCTCTCCAACAGACATCACACCCGGGTCAGGAAGGGGCCCCACCACACAAGATTATATGAGGATTCATCAGTTATATTTTGTGTGTTTTTAATAGAACTGCCAACTGCAATTGTTTGCACACCTCTGCTGGAGACTCTGCTCTTCCTCTTCCTCCCATCAAGGTCCTGACCACCTCCCCCCCTCTCTCAGCTCCTCATCAGCAGCTTCAAAGGACAGCCCACCCTCACCCTCACCCCGCTCACTGTCCCACTCTCACTCTTACTACCAGCCAGGTACAAAGAGAACTCTCCAGACTCCACATCAGAAAAGCCAGTGGACCAGACAACATCAGTCCCAGGATCCTCAAGGTGTGTGCGTATATACATAGATATATATACATATATACTGTACATTCTATATATTTATTATTATACTAGTCTATATTATATAACATTTCATTATATTACACTATATTGTTCATATTGCACTATATTATACCATTTATTTATCATACCAAGTCACTTTAATCATCACTTGTCACTTTATCTTGTCATTCTCTTCAAATACTGTTTCAATTCTCAATTCCCCCAGTTAACTTCAACATTCATTTTTGTACTGTATATACCCCCTGTTTTTATTTTTTATTTTTATTTTTATTTATCTCATCTATTCTGTTTAATGTGTATTTGAGCTTTCTTGTCTGTGCTGCTGTAACGCCCGAATTTCCCCTCTGGGGATCAATAAAGTATTATCCTATCCTATCCTATCCTAGATGTTTAGAATAACATTCATATGGTTGACTCACCTGAATATGCTGCATACAAGGTGGATTTTACACCTGATTTGACACCAACTTCAATTTTGGTTTCCGAACCACCATCTCATCCACTGACTCTGGCTGGATCCCCTGTTAAATGGCAACAAAGACATTTCAATTAATATAATATACAGGAAAAGATTAAAAGTTCCATTACAAAAGTTAAATTGTAGTAAGACACCAAATTGGGAGACAGTATATTGTTAGGGTTAAAATGTTTTGATTTCTTTTGACAGAAACAGAAGACATTGTGTAGTAGCCTACATCAGAATGGTGGGTGGCATAGATCAACTCTGAAAAAAACAGTCAACCTAAGATAACTTGCAAATAATCACTTTTTCCATGTCATTTTCTGGTTCAAGTCAATTACTTTATTTATTCTTTTTCAAATTGGATTTTTTTTATAGTCGAATTAAGAATTCGTGTTAGGGGAACCGGAGCACCCGGAGTAAACCTAAATAAGAGAGACAAGGATTAAAAGGTAGAAAAGGGAAAGCTAGGGTCTAATATTAATTACTTTTCAATAAGTTGTGCAGTTGTTGTGCACTATTTATAATTTCAACAATCAACTTTATCAGCTTCAGTTTTTATAGAACTGAGGGAATAAGGTGATAAAGTGAAAGGTTTGGGGAGGGGGTGGAGCTAAAGGGGGAGATAAAAGGGGAGAAAATGAACGGTTGGTGAGGTATAGAGGGGGGGCTATTCCAAGACTTCGCAGTCACAGCAACAGAGGAATCGCCATGGAGTATTTTTCTCCTCCTTCTTCTTGCCCTTATTTGACTTGACTCCAACTTGCTGCACTTTATTCATCCTCAGTTTCTTAAACCAGCTCCACCTATTTGACTTGACTCTGACTTGTTCTTCAGAAATAGTTGGCTGCACATTATTCTTTTTCTGTTTGATGAAGATGCTCCACCACTTTGACTTCTTCTCTGCTTCTTGCTCAACAAAGCTTTCCTCTGTATTAGCAAACTCATAAAGTTCATCCATTTCCAAATGATTGCGAAGGGACGGAGTTGTGTCCATATTAATTATCCCCTGCTCTGTGTCGATCTTTTCATTGCTCCGCCAATTGACTGACTTCTTCTCTGGGACTTCACTTTTGATATCTGCATTTCTGTGGCTCCTTGAAGTGTCAATTTGTTTGCAAAGGCTTTTGAGAACATCTTTCAATGTCCTTATGACACCTTTGAACACCCCTCTGCATGCTCTGCAGTTTGGGCACTTGGCACAGGTACCAGAATGGACAACAAAGGGTTGTTTTAAATCTTTCATAGCCTTTAAGATAATGGAGTCATCGCCATTGGTGAACATATTGAGGAAAGCCTCTGCAAATGTGGGAGTAACTCTGATCGATGCGTCAGCACCAACCACTTCCCAGAAAGCCTCGCTGAAGGAGCCTTTTAAATTCTGTTCCATTTTTTCATTGTAGATTTTACTGGCCCTTCTATGACCTAAACCTAAGTTCAACTCGTTGCAAACTATATCATCAAAATACAGTGGAGCGACTGTCTCTACGGAAAATCTCAGCACATCTGCATACATGCTGGTCAGCTTCTTCTTCCCCTCCATGTCCAATATGCCTCTGCTTAAATCATTTTTTTGCCTCTTAGTAAGGCTGTCAAAGAATGACTTGAATATAATACAAAAGCTATTTTTCAGTAGCATTACTTTCTCAGCAAAGTGTTCCTCTTCATCATCCATTTCCAAATGATTGCAAAGGGACGAAGTTGTGTCCATATTAATTATCCCCTGCTTTGTGTTGATCGTTATAAAGATGCTGCTTCCTTTTCCATGTTAGATGGATCCATTGTGCTTTGTTTGAGATTAGACTTTTTCTGTTGAGAGCTTTTTAAAGTTTTCTCCTTCCTTCCTTTCTTTTTGTTTGATTTCATGACTGTTCGCTATGATGGACTTCTCTGGGTTCAGTTAAAGGGATATAGTTATTCTGATAAATTTGACTGTCTGTTCACAATCTTGATCTGAAAATCCTAAATCTAATTATAAGCGAGTTATGGATTGTTACATCACACATCAAAGTGTCTACTCAACCCTGTTGACACAATGATGACGTATGTTAGCGATCGTACGCGCCTGCGCAGTTTGGCACCGGAAGTACGGCGAGGTGCGCGAAACTATGCGAGGGGATTTACAACAAAATATTATGATACCTAAACCAGCTGACTTTGTCAAGTTGTAAAACACTTCCAGGTTCGTATGGTATTAGAAACTACAGAAGTTAAGAGCACAAGTCAGTCATCAGTGGTCATATTTATAAAATGTCAAACAAGAAGACAGACTTTGAGTTAGCCTATGTGTCGTAAAATGACAAACTGGCAAGCTTAAAACAAGGATACAAGACCACTTTGTAAGAGGCCAGGGTCGTTATTAACAAGACAGAAAACTAGCAAAGTGAACCTATATGACAGGGCACATTTCATATTGTGTCTTTGGCTTGCTAGTGTTACACCCCTGTAGCTCAGTAGTCCCATGACAGCTCTCAGCTCTCCCACAGTCTTTGGTTTCTTCTCCTTTAAAGCTCTGACAGCAAGCGTATCAGCAGGGTCCATTTTGCTGCCCTCTGCAGATATACGTCCTAAATAACGAACCTCACGCTTGAAGACTTCACACTTACTTGGTTTCAACTTTATCCCATGCTGACGTAGTCGCTGTAACACTGTTCTCACATCCTCAACATGGTCCTCAAATGATTTGCTAAAGACAAGCGTGTCATCCAGGTATGGTATGAAGATCTCATCACGCAGCCCTTCCAAACATTCTTCCATACATCGCTGGAAGGCAGCTGGGGCATTCATCAAACCAAAGGGTATTCGAATCCATTCATAAAGACCCCAAGGTGTCACAAAAGCTGTCATAGGTCTGCTTTCTTTAGCCATGAAGCCCTGATGGTAAGCTTTACCTTGATCTAAGAGAGAGAACCAGGAATTTCCACCTAGGCCATCCATGATGTCTTGCACTCTGGGAATCGGTTGGCGATCAGGAAGGGTTTTCTTGTTCACTTCACGGAAGTCAATACACAGCCGCAGAGTTCCATCTTTTTTTCGTACACAAACCACTGGTGATGCATACGGTGAGTTTGACTTCTCCACCCAGCCTTGTGCGATGAGGTCATGCAAGTAATCTTTCATCTCTCTGTAAAGTGGCTTAGGTACAGAGAGGTATGTTTTTGCGACAGGTTCAGTGTCTTTCAGAGATATGCTGAGTTGCAGTTTCTCTATGCAGCCGATATCATCATCTGTTTTTGAGAATGAAGCCGACTCCTCTCTCAACATCTGGTGAGCTATCTCCTTCTCGGGTTCGCTGAGGTGGCTCAGATTCACAGGTGGGTCCCATAAATTGTCATTACTGTGTTTCTTTTCAACTCTGATGTGATTCATAGTTGCTGGAGGTGGAGGGCGGCAACCCTCTAGCATGGAAGCTGGATAAACTGCCTGAATCTGCTGCACAGTCCCAATCACAGTCCTTCCTGCCAGCACTATGTCATGGTCTGTAGGATTCTGTACACTAACAGTAATAGATGGTTTATTACCTTTTCCCACTTTTACAAGCGTGTCACAGAATTGAAGTCCCTCAGCCCAGCGTGGGTTCACATCTGGCTCAAAGATAAGTGTTGTATCTTCATCTGGTGCAGACACATTTACATGGCACTCAACTTTGACAGACATGTGTTTTGGTATGTTGATCCTGTCTTTTTTTGTCTTCACAACATATTCATGATTTTGCTCAACACTTACTTGCTGTACAAAGGCTTCTGCTTGGTTTGGCTTGAGATCAGGGAATGCTGCCCTCACTGCGTGACTGAGGCGTTCTCTGTTGTTAGAGCTGGACTGTTTTGATTCACTGTTTATAATGAGATCGATAACATTAGAGCCAATTATGGGACGAAACAGATTGTTACCTTTCATCACAAGTGTTGGAACTATAACTTCTGTGGTGACTGCTTCTCCTGGAGCTAGTCTGAAAGTAATCTTCACCCAGCCTGCATATGGTATATTCTCACCATTTGCTGCCACAATGTCAAGAGTATCTGCACTGTCCAGAATTTCAGAAATGTCTCTCAGTCTCAAGTCTGGTACGTGTTCTTGTTTCCATTGTTCATCCATTATTGTTACTTGGGAACCTGAGTCCCACAAAGCTTGAACTCTTTCATGTTGAATGTAACAGTCGATCACATATTTTTTTCCTACCAGAGGAGCCACTTTTGCTTGTTTTCTTCCTTTTGAGTGAGTGTTCACAGTCATACATGAAAATGGCACACATTTTTCTTGGTGCACAGCCCAACCATTAACTTGACATGACTTAGAACAGTAGAGTTCATTTTTACATGATGCACATTGTTTCAGTCTCATCTCTTCACCTTCTTTCCCACAGTGAGCACAGTGCTGGGACCTCTCTGTATGACTGGTCACTCCCTGTCCCGCGCGAGCGACCTTTCCCCGTTTAAAGGGTCACCTCCAACATGTCTTTGTCCTCTAGCTCGACAACCAGCCAGGAAATGCTCACTGCTGCCGCACCTGAAACAGTGTGTACAGTAGTCCTCAGCTCCCCGCTGTTGACAGCTAAAACATCTCCTCATACGTCTCTGATTTTGTGGTGGGAAGCTGCGCTGTGGGGCAAACTTTTGCTGATACTGTGCAGTCTCACCTCTCTGTCCGGGGCCAGGCGTGTACCAGTATCTCTGGGGCAATTCTTGCATCTGATGACCTGGGAACTGCTGAGCTGATGTGCCATCCAATCCTCTTGTTTGAGGCTGCTGATCTCTATACATGTACTGGGGCTGCTGCATAGACTCTCTTATCTGGGATACTTCGACTTTAAGATCTTTCAGCAAAGTCATTTCAGACCTCATTTCTTCAAGCTGAGTCAATACAGTTGAGGGAATTTTACCTGAGTTCTGTTGAGTTGATGGTTTTTCATTCTTTTCAACAGGAGCAGTGTTGGACTGGGCTGAGTGAATATTTATAGGACGTTGTTGTCCCAACAGCTTCCTTTTATTTTGGCTCTCCGTCTCATAAGCACATGCTGTGTTCATTCGCTCAAGTAACAGTTCATCAGAGATGTCAGTTTGTTCAAGGTATGGTCGAAGGTCACGTTTTATGTTATCATTTTGTAGCCCAGTTAACACAGTGTGAAGAAACATGTTCTGTACTAAACCTGGGTCATATTTGAGGCCTGACTCTGCTTCTTGTGAGGCAAACAAAATCTTTTGTCTGAGGTCAAAAGCACGAATGAGGAAGTTCTGCGGAGTTTCTTTGATGCCTTGAACTTCTGAGGTCA